AAGTAGGGGGCGAATAGAGATTTTTAACAAATCAGAAATCCTAGCGCTATCAAAAAGTGTCTTAGTAGGAACATGACTCACAAGGCGAGCATGCCACCTACGAAAAGCAACATCAGATTTAGGCCAAGTGCAAATACCTCTTTCGCGAAGTGGCCCTAGCGGCAGAGAGTTTAAAAAAGGAGGGCCACGAGTGCAAGGAAACAGCTGACCCATCGCCGCCTGTTCAACTGCCTCTACATTGTTGAAGAAAGGACCCAAGTAGAACTCATTACGTTCAACATCGGCGGGCGCGAGAAAACTTGAAGTTATGTATGGGCGACTCAGAAGTTTCTGAAAATCATCAAAACTAAAGGAGTCGCCAGCTTGAGATTGTGAAGCAGCCATTTGAGAAGGAACGAAGTTTTTCAGGGTTACGTAGCAGGGAAGCAAGAGATGAACAGTAAATCGCGAGAGAGACGCAAAAAATTTGAGGCGTGGTTTAATGGTGCAGTGAAATGGCGTGTTTGGGGTTTATAAAGGTTTGCAAAACGACGCACATTTTCAAGTTATAGAAGAAAACAATGATTGAAATTCTTGGGAATTTCGAATGTTGCTGGAAACACAAAGTGAATATGGCAAACTTTAATAATTATTATTAATCCTGTCATATTGGAGGGTAATTGTTGACACATAAAAATTCATCCCAAATCGAACAGCCCAAGGAGTGAAGCCCAATTGGAGGATCCCCAAAATCAGATAACCCAAAGAACGAAACCCAATCGAACAAATCAAGATAAAGGCCCAAATAAGGAGGCCCAGGAACGCGATAACGCCATCGCCCAAGTTTGCAAGTCGCCCAGAATCTGAGCGAATGAAGTGTCATACAGTCGCCCAGAGCTGTTACTCTATTCTCGCCCAAACCTTCAAGTCGCCCAAGATCTTAACAAACATAAAGTGTCGTGGTCATCAAGAAATGCAGTTATCAAAGCAGTTATTAGAGTAGCCCTATCACGTTCCACGATTCAAGGAATTCAATCGAAAGCGGTTGAACAATGAAGAGTAATGGCAGCAGTTAAAAGAGGCAGTTTTTATGACAAGTTGGTCATTACGAAAAAAGTGGGCAGTTATAGGACGATCAAGCAGTTTTTAGGGCGGTTGATCACAAAGAGATCGTCCATGAAATATAAAAGGAAGAAAGGACATAGAAGCAAGGGACCGAATCCAAAACTCTCGAACAGAGAATATGTAATTTTCATTTCCTTAGCTTAGATTTAAACACTTTTCTTTCAGTAACTCGTGTGCTTGCGCCCCTTGGAGGCACGTTGTTTTTAATTTCCAATTGTAAAGTCATCGCCAATAAAAGAACACCCCTTTTTGGGACTTTGTCTCAAGAGGTTTGTCCCTTACACAATCGTCTGATCCTTTTTAATTGTTAGCGACTAACCCGCACGAAACAAGAATAGATAAAAGTCCTGCCAACGAAAGCTTCCTTAACTTTTCCAAGTTATGTGAAAGACCATTCAGCAATTTATACGCACATATATATGTAGAAGAAGTCCTCGGGATAAATGAGAAAGAAGAAGTATGCCTACAAAAAAAATAGAAAGAAGAGACCGTCGAAAAAACGGACGGAAAAGAAGAGAGTCGTGTTTTCTCCTATTTTTCTTCCAACTTCTGAATTCATGACTTGATGGCTTTGTAGGTTTATAAATGGGCCTATTTATTTCTGTTTAGTGGAAATTAAAGGGAGATGGGTATTTAAAGATTGAATTTCAAAAATAAAATTTAAAACTTACTTGTACAAAAATCAGGTGATAGTTTTATATTTTAATATTAATAAATAAATTTATATACTCTCGCCCTATCTCCATCTGTCCCATTCAAACCCTAAATTATTTTCTCCATCTTATTCCCCTCCCGTCTTTCTCCACCCTTTCTCTTGCATATGGACAGTCGGTACCGTCGAAGACCACAACGGCAGTGATGGTAGTACACAACGATCGTCGCTGTGCAACTACATTTCTCCGTGAGCATCGTTGTAGAGCGACGAGTCGCACGCAGCTGCATATGGTGATCGCGCAGTGGCTTTTCTATACAGCGTCGCTACAGCACGTGATCGATGATGTTGTTCGTTGTTTTTCTTGTTGAGGTAGTGGTGGTGATGTTTCCATGTTTTGGTGTTTATTGGGATTTCGTGGTGGTATAGGCGGTGTTACTTGCAGCAAACTGGCAACGATTGAGTGTAGTAGCAATTCACTCTGAACATTGTTATACAACGACGCTCACAGCAGCTTCACTGCATATAGAAGGCGCACGCATCTGTGTACGATGACCGTGTAGCAAATTCTCTGTGTGGTGCTACATTGGTATGGTAGATGGGAAGGAAAGAGAGTAGATGAGAGAAAATAGAAAGTGAATTACTTGAAAAATAAAAACTTACTCCTCCTAAAGAAGATATTTTATCCGTTTTCAAGGAAAATATGATCACGTGACCAGAAATAGGAAAATATTTTCTATGGAAAAAAATCAATCAAACAACATAAAAATAGAAATTTTAATAGAAAAATGATATATTTCATGAAAAATATTGACAATCAAATGCACGCTTAAAAGTAGTTAAGAGAAGAATAAGTTGTTTAAAAGTTAAGATATAAGAAATTAATATAATTGAAAAGGGTTTAACAGTAGAAAACCCCTACATACTTGATGATGGGCGATAAACCTTTCGTACCTAGTGAAAATTGTATAAAACGTCTCTATTTGAAACTTTGAGGTATGAAAAATCCCTTGTATGAACTTCGAAGTTCTATTTGCTCCCTACCTTCCAATTCTGTTAGTTTGACCGTTAAAAATAGTAAAAATTGTCAAAATTGAAAAAGAATAATTGCAGTTGTGATCCCAAACTTTTTTTTTTTTAACAAATTATGTACTCAAAAACAAAATACAGAAATTCCAATCCCCCTTTTGAATAACAATTCAAATACGAGTACTTTATATTTATTGATTACAATACACAGTAAATGTTCGTTTGATTCTCATTTTTTTTAAAATTTATTTTCAATCAAATATTTTTCAATAAAATAATATTACACGCAAACTCAAATTTTTTCTTTAATTTTTAACCACACAATCTCCATTAATCTATTATTCAAAATACATTATTTCTCCCAAAATGGGGATCAAGCAAGGGCTAAATAAGAGTAATATTAAATGACTAATATATCAATTCCATTGTTAAAAAAGAAAAATGACCCAAGTTTTGGAAGAAATGAAAATGGAAAGCAAATATATTTTTATATCTATGGGATAGAGAGTACTTGTTTATTATCCCCCTACTATAAAATCTACAATTTATGGAAGTTATATTATCCCCTATTTGATGGTTATTATAAAAAGAATTTAGAGAAAAATAATGATTTGAATAGTAATTTTTTTAAAAATATGTGGTTAAAAAGTAAAAAAAATTTTAAACTTGTGTGTAAAATATTGTTTTAAAGAAACGTGTAATTGAAAATGAGTATAAGAAATAAAGTCTTTGGAAATAAAAGAAATCAAATAGTAATAAAGGAAAGAATAATACAATTTAGCATCAACCACTATTGACAGGATGTAATGTCATGTAATTACTCTTTAAACGGGTGGTTGTCGCACGAAAGAATATCATCACTCTAAAGAAAACAATTGAAAATTACAATGTGTGCAATGGACGGCGTAGATAACCGCAGGAAAGGGGAAGTCCGTCGAGCGGTGACCCATGTCACGCTAACCGGGATATTTTGTTAGCGTCAATCGACATTGTCATGTGGTCCCATACTAGTTTTAAATCGTCCCTTCTTCTATGCCTTTATTGCATTTAATTACTTCCACCCCAACTCGCATAACAGTAGAGCGTGTTGCTCACGCTATGATATGTTTCTATTCTTTTTTTTTTTTTTTTTTTAAAATTTTTTCCCTCTCCCCTTTGCTTTATGTTAGAGTACAGGTTTTATTGTCCAATTAGTCTCTCATCTTGTGTTGATTAATACAGTGTCACGTTAAAATAACTTACTATTTGTCCGATAAATTGAAAGAACCAATAAATTCGTTCCTAAACTTCGTTTTCGAAACCTATAGAACGATGCTTCTCGATTTTTCATTTTACATGAAAAAGGTGGACTTTGTGTTATTAAATATTCCAAGAAAATAAAATTTTGATATAACATATGCCATGTTCACATGTTACACATTTTCATGTCTGAGCATAATATGTGACACTTTTTTATTTGACAAGGCAGTCATTAATAAATTATTAGCGAAATATTAATTGTATGTTAAGAAGATAATAATTGAAGTAATATGGTATTTTATTTTTGTGAAAATAAAAATTAAACAAAATAGGGACCATTTTATGAAAGAATGTAATCAATCAAGAAGAACGGGAGGGCGTAACATGGAAAGGAATGACTCGTTACTATAACTTATAAACTTTTATTTCATTTACATTCCATGTCCTTTTCACTTTTTTCCCGTCAACACATAGAAAAGTAAATTGCTCTAACACAATATACAGTTGGTGGTTCATTTTGGACTAGACTCGATACGTTAAAAATAGGTGGCTTCAAATATAATTTTCCTAACCTAAAAGGATATAATCGAGCAATTTTGAGAAGTTGTAACCACGCTCCACGCTCCATGTCATGTAAGAGCGAGCATATGACTGTGACGAATCTCGTACACTACGATTCTGCCACGTGGTGTTAATCCTCGTAGAATAACAGGTTGAGGGGACCTGTCACATGCGGCTCTAAAAAGGCAGCCTTCTGCGTGTTGTATTTTTATTGGTCCACGTATATAAATTATAGTTACCTTAAACGTGGCGCATTCCTATCAATGGAGATGTAAATTGACGGTCAAGATTCTTTTCGCATCGTATTCAGCGATTTACGTCACATCAACTTTACATGTCGGATACACAATACATTTTCCCTCTGCCCTGGACGGTGACGGGCAGCTGCCCATAACTGACCCCCCACCCAGTACTTCTCCTTTCAACTATAATGTGGTCTCCTGTGTACAAAAAGCTTCATTTTTTTCTTTTCTGGACCCGCATCAGATTTTCGTGTCTCGCTTAACTATTTCTTCCCTGTTTTCTGAATCAGGGCTTCATTTTTGATCGATTAGATTCATTTGCGATTAAGGAAAAATCATGGCCGGTATGTGCTGTGGAGTGAAAATTGGTGAGGGCGAGACTACTGCACCCGTTGAGCCAAGATCAAAATCCGCTAGGAGAAGAAGGATGGGATGTCAGCAGTTCAATATTGTACCCAGCGACACCGCGGTGGCGCCGTCGCTGGACAACGGCGAAAGGAAACGACAGAAGGTGGAGGTTACCGTTCCGGCGGTGTCGCCGCCTCGGGAGTGCGAAAACTCGGTTGTGAATTGTCAACTGGAACAGAAAGAGCGTGAGTCACCATCGTTAACAAGAATAAAACATTATGTCGTTCCGGATTTGCCGAAATTTAGCTCGATTTCTGTTTGTGGAAGAAGAAGAGATATGGAAGATGCAGTTGCAATTCACCCATCTTTTTGCAGCCATAGCGATGATACTTGTAGAGGGATACACTTCTTCGGAGTATACGACGGCCATGGCTGCTCACATGTATATAAACTATAATCTTGTTTGATTTACAAATGATTAACTTAAAATCTTAAAAATGGTTCAGAAGAATTAAGCTTGATATGGGTTTTTTGTAGGTGGCCATAAAGTGCAAGGACCGAATGCACGAAATAGTAAAAGACGAGGTGAAATCCGGTGAAACATCATGGAAAGAATTAATGTTCAGGAGCTTTTTGAAGATGGACCAGGAAGTCACTGAATGGTCCGGCGAAACGGCTTATAATTGCAGATGTGAACTTCAGACCCCTCAGTCAGACGCTGTCGGATCCACCGCCGTCGTGGCTGTGGTGACACCGGAAAAGATAATTGTCTCCAATTGTGGTGATTCTCGCGCTGTTCTTTGCAGAAACGGCATCGCAATTCCCCTTTCCGTAGATCATAAGGTGGGTTTGTGTCAAGATTGCATCTTGGTGATTTAATTTTGATTACAAATCTTAAAAAATAAAAATAAATGTTGATTTGATGCAGCCGGACCGGCCTGATGAGCTTAATCGGATAGAAGAATCTGGCGGCCGTGTCATATTTTGGGACGGAGCAAGAGTTCTTGGAGTGTTAGCAATGTCTCGAGCCATTGGTGAACTCTCAAACCAAGCAATTCCTTGAAGATCTAGTCAATTTCATGTTCGATCTAATTAATTCATGAATTTTTTTTTTCCTTTTTTAGGTGATGGTTATTTAAAACCATATGTGATATCTGAACCGGAGGTGACCATAACGGAGCGGACAGCGGAGGATGAGTGTTTGATTCTGGCGAGTGATGGACTATGGGATGTAGTGTCTAATGAGACCGCGTGTGGGGTGGCACGTATGTGTCTTCAATCCCGGAAACCGCCATCACCGCCTAGATCGCCTGGAAATGACATAACGGTGACGGAATCTGGAGAGAGCTCCGATAAGTCCTGCTCCGATGCGTCTATTCTGTTGACAAAACTGGCTTTGGCGCGACACAGCACTGATAACGTTAGCGTTGTGGTGGTTGATTTGCGAAAGGACTTGTAACAATAAAAATTTTAATTTTTCCCTAATTTTTTTCCTTTTCATTAGATAGGTTTTATTTAAGTAAAATATTGATGGGCCAAAGAAAAGCAAGAAGAAAATGGGAACCATATCATGTAATTTGTACGTGGCAAAAATTATGTTACATAAATGTATTTAATAGAATGCGATCCCTCGTGAAATGTATTTTTTTTTTTTTAATAAGATTAAATCAAGTTGCCTCCTAGCATGTAGGAGTTAATTTTATATAATGAAATATTTATTTAATAACGAAGAGTTGATAAAGAAAAATATTTTAGACTGAAGTTTAAATAGTAGTTAATCATTAATTTAAGCTGTAATAGTTAGTCATCATATTGTGTGATACGATAATCTCTCCTAATTATCTGTGGACCATGTCACAACTTGGCAATAGATAATTTAGGATTATCTGGTAAGTGAGAATTCGAAATTTCTTATATTTAGAAATGGAGATTATTTCCAAGGTTATTGGGTCAAAGTTTCGACCTTGATGATGAAAATTATTAAATTCCTATTTGGTCCCATTTTTTAGAATTTATTTTTTAAAATTTCAATTTCAATTACACATTTCATGGTGTCTATAATATTTATAATTTTTAAATTATACATTTAATAATTTTTTGTCAAAATTTATTAAGAAATTGATATTTAAATAAATCAGACAGTGCTAAATGTTTATTTACTACCATTGTTTAATAGATTTAGTTAAAAGTTTGGTCAACTTGATGGATTTGAATTAGTTGAGCCAATTGTTTGGTAGTATTGATTAAGTGTTAATAATGTGAACCTTTGAAGATTGGAAAGGGGCGTCAGGGCCCATATGGATGAATGTCAACTCCTTACAAAACGGGGCTCCATTACCTTTACGGATTCGAATCCTATTACAAGACTGCAACAACTCGACCATAACCCACCCCCGACATAAATAATTTGGTGCTCCTACATTATGCCCACTCCCTCTTCCCTTTCTCTCTCTCATAATGGTCACTACCATTTATGCATGTATAGAGAGAGGAATGTGTATGTGTATGTGTATATATGTGTGTGTACATATGGTGGGGAACATTTTTTGCTTGAAATATGGAATGATGAGAAAGAGGCAGACTAATTATAAACTTTTTCAATCGAAGAGTAATGTTATTCATTTAAAATCCCAAATTATTATCGATATATGTGATAGTGAGATCATTGTCATATTATCCAATGCATAAAAATAAGTTCATTACTCTTTTTAAACAAGTTAAAAATTTTCTAACTTTTGTTGGTGCTTTATCACAAATGTAGTCGCATGGTTCGAGTGAGCGGTAAGAGCATACCAACAAAGGCAAGCATAATGTTTGAGGCTCGAGTAATGAGTAACTAAAGATCGTTTAAAAAGAAGTCTGAGCACGATTGCCTGCTTTATAAATGATAAAAGAAAAATCAACAATCATGCACTTTTTGTCAGACGGTTTGACAGATTATCAGTTGGCTCAATTTCGTTGAGTGTTGGACAAAAAATAATTTCAAACAAGACAATTCAGTATTGACACTTCATTATCTGTGAAAATACCTGTACATTTTATCTGTACAAGGAGTTTATTTCAAAAACCAATTGTTGTTCACATTCCCTAGTCGACCCACCATTGTTTAATAGATTTAGTTAAAAGTTTGGTCAACTTGATGGATTTGAATTAGTTGAGCCAATTGTTTGGTAGTATTGATTAAGTGTTAATAATGTGAACCTTTGAAGATTGGAAAGGGACGTCAGGGCCCATATGGATGAATGTCAACTCCTTACAAAACGGGGCTCCATTACCTTTACGGATTCGAATCCTATTACAAGACTGCAACAACTCGACCATAAACCACCCCCGACATAAATAATTTGGTGCTCCTACATTATGCCCACTCCCTCTTCCCTTTCTCTCTCTCATAATGGTCACTACCATTTATGCATGTATAGAGAGAGGAATGTGTATGTGTATGTGTATATATATGTGTGTACATATGGTGGGGAACATTTTTTGCTTGAAATATGGAATGATGAGAAAGAGGCAGACTAATTATAAACTTTTTCAATCGAAGAGTAATGTTATTCATTTAAAATTCCAAATTATTATCGATATATGTTATAGTGAGATCATTGTCATATTATCTAATGCATAAAAATAAGTTCGTTACTCTTTTTAAACAAGTTATAAATTTTCTAGCTTTTGTTGTTGCTTTATCACAAATGTAATCGCATGGTTCGAGTGAGCGGTAAGAGCATACCAACAAAGGCAAGCATAATGTTTGAGGCTCGAGTAACGAGTAACTAAAGATCGTTTAAAAAGAAGTGTGAGCACGATTGCTTGCTTTATAAATGATAAAAGAAAAATCAACAATCATGCAAAATGTACAACGATTTTTGTCAGACGATTTGACAGATTATCAGTTGGCCCAATTTCATTGAGTGTTGGACAAAAAACAATTTCAAACAAGACAATTCAGTATTGACACTTCATTATCTGTGAAAATCCCTGTACATTTTATTTGTACAAGGAGTTTATTTCAAAAACCAATTGTTGTTCATATTCCTTAGTCGAACGGTACTTTCCTAATAATTCACCCTTTAATAAGACTATTAATCCCCGTTTTCATCTTTAATATATAATTCAGCAGACTTCTTCAANTACATAGAATTGGTATGGATTAAAATCAAATTTTTAGAAGATTTTACATTTTGGTAGAAGTTGATGAAATACGAGGTTGAAAAATTTTGGATCCCATTAAAATAATATTGACTTTGACTTGAATTAAAATCTTGATTTTAATTTTCATTAAATAGCTATATTATGTCGTCATTATATATAATGTATTATATACAATGTAAATTTACAGAAAATATTATATAAAGTGTAATTACACCTTATGTACAAGATATATTGTGTAAATTTTCCTATTTATTAAGAAAAAAAATACCAAACCCTTCTTCACCATTCCTACTCCCAAGAGTGGCAAACAGTTCAGTCGAGCTGTAATCAAATAGTCAGAATTTGTCAACAGTAGATATTAAAGAGATGGAACTAAGGATATAGAGAGCATCGTTATTCATCACATCCGTAATGTAATAATTAGATTATTGTCACATTGTCTAGTAAATAAAAATGTATTATAACTCTATTGATAATGTAAAAGTAACTATTCTGCCTCATATGCTCACGATGAATAATATTGCTCCAATATAAAAGAAATAAACTCTGTTGCATCAACATTACAAAATATGAGAGGTTAAATTAATGGGTAAAGATGAGTCAGCTTTAAGTTGAGCGGCCACCAATTTCTCGGACTGTGGTTGCGTCACATGCGGACATACAAACGTGTACCACTTGCAAGGTAAAAATAATTTAATTTGACTTCTTTATGTATGCAGATTGAAAATTGGCCACGTTTTTAAGTTGAATTTGGTCGAGTTACTTATTCAAGAAATTATTTACACAATGATTGAGGTCACACTTCCATAGACGACGAAGTTTACATAAAAGCATTAAGAGAAAGTTCGTGTCGAGCTGGTTTCGACTTAGCTCAAATTAATCATAAAGTACGATTGAACATAACGAATTAAAAAATGTGAAAAGAATAACTGACTATCCAAAATGAGGTTTTAGATACTTTTCTACGATGTTGCTTTCTGAAGAATGTATTTTGGCATATATTTTCTGCATACTTGGTCCAACAAAAACCTCTTCTTGTATTGTGGCTAAGACTCCTTTGGGCATTTCACATTATTCCATTAGTTTTATCATCTATTTGGACACACATCACTCTAGAATCTGATTCTTGTACGTGAAGGGCATGGATGGTTTTATATAAATCCCTCTATTGACTAAACAAAATAGATATATAACAAAATTTGTCAATTGTCGAATCTATCGATATACATAAAAAGAATCTTGAAAAGCATCTTTTTGACCCCTCCTAAACAAGTATGCTTCAGGCTCATAACTTTAATACATTCCTCTGAGATTTCTCAATCACAGCTATTAATTGCTACAACCAATGACTACCTGTGTAGAGATGCTATTTGATTTCTTTTATATTGTTGATCTCTCTTTTTATTGGCGTTTATCACAGGCCAAGACCCTATAACCAGAGTGAGGACCCTGCGATGTTTCCCGCACGGATACATGCCAACCCATGGCCTCACCAATCTCTTGAAGTTCATCCAAAACATCAATAGAATCACGAATATATACATGTCCACCGGGTCTCAAAATGCGATCCATTTCAAGCATGATGGTAGAGATATTGCATCTGATGTAAAAGAAAAGGAAAAAGAAAAAAAACAAATGTTTCGTTCATCAAGTTCGTTCACAAAAGTAAAAGAAACATGGATATATGTGTACTCAAAGCAGAGCCAGCCAATCGATACTATGAATTGTGCATGCTATAATACTAGAATTCTAAAACTTCATCTAGTACCAGGTATAAGGATCTAAAACTCACAAGTTCTTATGGCCAAAATAGGAAATGTAAGTGCAGCACAGGGAGAGGAAACTTAAAAGGAGTACCTTTTTCGTTCAATAGAGAAAAGGCCAGCAGCGTGAATTAAATCATATGATCTTGGGTATGTATCAAACGGTTCACACCTGTAAAGTTGTGTGCAGCTCGTTATGCATCATATAAATAAAAGGGCCGGATTAAGCCTGAAACTTCCCCATAAGATTAATGCACATTTTGGAACCAAAACAATGGTTCTGACATTTCATTTATTCATGTATTTAGCTTTTGCTGGAGAGAACGGGAGGTAGAAGTGGAGTCGGAAGCAAACAAGCTAGTTGAGGAACATAATCAATTGGTAATCATGCACCTATAACTATAGTGACATCAAAGAACAGATCATAATCAATTCTCACCAGTCATGCATAACTCCAATGAGACCACGGTCATAAATGACAGGCAATGTATTGGATCCACTAACAGGCACAACATTGAGTACCCAGCTATCCAAATTGTTTTCAACTAGTGCAGCTGCAAATCTGCCAGAAAAGGAACTAATTACTTAGCATACAAAAAACTGTAATACCAATAGTGATAAGCTAAGTACTACTTTGTATCTTCTAAAAATTATGCAGAACGGTAGGAGAACATGATGGACTCCACAAATGAAAAGAATTACCCTCCAAAGCCAGCTCTCATG